CCCCCCTGAAGAAATAGAGCCGAACCTGAACGGAGGTGGTGAAGGAGATTTCCTAGTCGTGTAGTAGTCATGCGTCATGTCCTGTTTGTGATGTGAGGAGAGCAGAGCCGCCCCACGCCTCCCACGGAAGACAACAAGGCATTCTGGGAGCACAGTGGGGAAAAGGTTGCGGGGGTCCAGATGCCACAGCCTGGCGCAGTGGCACACGATGGGGTGTGCTGTGATGTCCCCTAATGAGCCCTTTCCAGACAGTCGTTTTATGATCTCAGAAACCAGTCGACTCAACCTCCAGCTGTTTTTTTTTTCTCCCTGATCAGAGGCATTCCAGAAAATACATGTTTTATATTTCTGTTCAACAGCTGTTTCATTTCCTTTTTCTGTCTTCCTGGCTTTGTGCATGTGGTGGAGGACACTCGGGTGTGTGTGTGAGTGACCATGTGGAGGTACTTGAGTGAGTAAGTGTGTTTAAGGGACTATATGAGAACTTGTGAGGTTTCAAACAGGCTGGGAAGTCATACTAAAAAATGGCTGGCGTGTCTCTCTCTGTACTGACCGACAGAAGAGAACAACCCCTCCCCAGTGAGTCTTGGCTGGAATTAGCCCTATTTATTTTAAATATATATAATATGTGTGCCTGTACAGTTCTGTGCAACTAGAGAAATGCTCTAAGGAGTCTGTTTTTTGAAGCTTATTCAGGTAGTGATGTTATTTTTAGTCCCATTTCCTCATTCACCATGTCCAGGGTTGGTAAGCTGTAAGCCGAAAACATCACCAGAACGTCTGCAGATTCACTTCAGATCACTCAGAGAGAGAAAAGCCACTCTGTCGTACGAGGGTTGTTGGGGAAAGAAGCAAAAACACAAAGAATGGAACATAGGACTTTTTTTTCTTGTTGTTGCATTGCAAGCCTGTTCCAAGTGTCTTACTGCACCGGTATAATCGATAGGATGATTTGTGTAGTTGCCCTCATTGCATGTTCAGCTTGTCAATCAAACCAGGCCGGGTAACACAGAGGTTAGGTCGTCTCCGCAGGGCCCATGCTACAACTGGCCTACGCCCATCTCTGCTCTGTAAAAAGCAAATCTTTCTGCTATCAAGCCTGCGACATATCTTCAAATACTGTAAGCACTGCTAGATGAGTACTATTTGATATT